TTAAAGACTTTTGTGTTCTCTATGTATGGAAAATTTAGCATCAAAATCTAAATTAATGAACTTTAAGAAGATATTAGAACATATAGAAGAAACTCAAAAGTAAAAGAAAGAATCTATTGAAAATATGTTAATTATTAACATCAAATAACTTGAAGAACTCTAAAGAGCATTTCATCAATTAAAATCAAATATTGTTCAATAATTAGATTATTTAATAGGAAATACAAATGAATGGATTAAACAAATTTAGATATGGGGACAATTAAATGTTACATATAGTTTCTTTGATGAATTAGAAAAACTAATTAATTAAACAAAACTTGATTAAACCAATTAGAAATCTATAGTTGATCAAATTAATTAAATTAATTAATCATGGAATCAAAAGATCTTTAAAAAATTAAATTTATTTAAATCATTTTAAGAAACTTAGAAATGTGAAGAGCTATTAATAAGTTTACAAAATATCAATTTTATTAATGAAAAGGAAATATTGATCAAAGAAAATTAAGAAAATGATAATAAAAAATAAAAGGAAGTGATTTAAGGATATATATAATAGAATCAATAGAAATAATAATTAATAATTAATAAACAAGTTGAACTTAAATTAATTGATGATTCTATATAATAGAGTGGCTATTGTAGAACAATAATTTTTGATAACACTGGATCAATCATGATTTCATGTGAGGGTAAGGAGATTAATATATGGAATTTTGAATTAGGAAGATTAACATTAATTAATACATATTCATAACATATAAAGGCTGTTACATGTTTGGTTTATAGCAAATTGAGAAATAACTTTATTTCTGGTTCTTATGATAAGACTATCATTAGTTGGCAATAAATTAATCAAAAAGACTGGAAGTGTTCATAACCATTCTAATAACATAATGATTATGTTAATTGTTTGATATTAAATAAATAGGAGGATCAACTTATTTCAGGAGGTTCTGATAAATCAATAAAAGTTTGGAATGTAGATTTTATTAAGAATGAGCTGAATTTTCAGTATTCATTAGATCACCATAGAAATATTGTATTTTCATTCTGTTTTAATTCATCTGAAACTGTATTAGTATCATGTGGATATTCAGAATTTATCATATGGGAAAAAGGAGTATTAAAAAATAAGGTTTTTTCAATTTTCTAAATGAATTTAATTAATTTTTTAATTTCATTATGTATAGATAAGATGTTTCAGATTATGGATATTAATTACATTTAATTAATGATCAATAATTTCTTTGGGTAACTTTAAATAAGAATGTTGATGATATTTTGGTGTTTGAAATAAAGAATAGAGTCTTTTAATAAAATATTAATAAAACTATTAAATTGATTAAGAATAATTAATGTGATGATAATCGATATTTCCCAATTATTCACAATAAAGATAAAAATATAATATTGGTAAGACATAAACATCATATCTATCTGATTAGTCAATTAAATGATGGCACATTTTATATTATCGCATCTTTAAATTGTGACAATTTTG